ACACTACATCAACTTCGTTTGCAGATACTTGCTGTGTAACAGTTGCTCTGTACCACTTCCCATCTTTGGGACATTTAACAATACAGGCAACTTGTCCAGTTTTGTAAGGACTGCTATGCTCTTTATAGTAAGTCTGAATTTGTTCCATTAATTTATTTAGATCTGGCAGCTTGCTTTGCAGCTGACACGAAAAATCTGCTGGGGAAACAATGTAAGAACACACCACTTCAAAAACAGCTCCTGGTTTAAACACAAACTCTTTATAAGATAATTTTTTCTCACATACCGATTTACACCTTCTAGAGACAGCACCTTCTCCAAAACAGGACAGCACAACAGATTCTCTCTGTACTGAAGGCACACCTACTGATTTTTCCTTTGGAAATATCGCTCCATTTCCAGATACCTTATTTTTACGAATATTACACATGCTCTGTGCATTTACTTTTTTTTTTTTTAGTTTGTGGGGATTCACGGCTTGACTATTTTTTGTCAAACTTAAAACAGAATCTAGTGTCTTCTCCCAGTATTCAGCATATCCAGCTTGAACCATACATGTGGCAACATTTCCTTGCTGCAAGCCATTTTTATACTGTGCATTAACAATATACTTGTTGTTTTGCTTTCCAATGACATGAAGCAAGAGTGGCTTGTTAAACACAATGTCTTTGAAGAAATCTGTTTCCTTTTTAACCCACACATCATCAACAGGAAATGTGCAAGCAAGTCCACAACACATAGCTAAAGCTGGTAAATGAGAAAACTCAGGAAGCAACGTTTTCACATCATAACAAGGTACTGTATCTGTATTTCCAAAGTCCAAAAAATAAACAGTAATGTTTACATGCAGCACTTCAATGACAACACCCCGATAATAATGCATGTCTTTGCTATAACGGGCACAGCACAGCAATCCAGGTTCTGGGTTTTTAAGGACCATTTCATCAGCTCCACATTGGTTATACGCATCCGCAATATTTTTCATCAAAGCTTGAAATTCATTCTGATATTCACATGTTTGAATCCAGAAGTCAGATGGATTTATGACATATACCACAAGAGCAGTATGGAAAGAATTAATTTGCATTTCTACTCTTTTGTAGTGGCTTGACAAAGAAATATCCCGTACAGATAAGCAGTTTTTTGTAGGTTTATTTCCAGTACAATTCTTAAATGAATTGTGTCTCTCATCACATGCTTTGTAGTTTACAGCAATACTTGCAATTTTTGTTTCTGAAAGAGACACGCATGATGCAGCTGCCTCATTCAGGTTTTCTGGATGCTTAGCATTAATTCCAAGATTTTGATTTTGCAGCGTAACATAATACAAGCGTTTAATGTCATTGAATAAATCAACATGGACACACACAGAAGTTTGTCCTATCAAGGCCTGTGTAAGTTCTTTCAGCTGAATTTTTATTACTGTTTCATCCTGACTCCTAAAACAAGACAGCGCACCTGGAAATGAAATCATTGGTAACGCCATGAACTCAGCTCTAAGTTTTTGAACACAACTAGATGGCACAGCTTCAGTATGGCCAAAATCCATAAACCAGACTTCCACTTGGTCAGAAAGAAGCTGTTTTATCACTCCTCTATGCCACTGCCCATTTTGCCTTTTGGCAGCACAGAGTAGCCCTAAACTACCAAAATATTTATTATTTTCTGTACTGATAGCTTCATAGTACAAATGCATAGCTCCTGCCAAATCTTCCAGCTCTTTCTGCCATTTCTGTATCTGACAGTAAAACTTATTTGGGCTTACTGCAACAGTTATTTTTACATTTTCTTTACTGCCAACAGGTAGACGTGGAAAGAGATCATCTGGAACTGGCCAAAAGTCTGTTGGTTTCTCAAAATTACTGAAAGTAAGCAACTCCTTGACTGGATACTTCTGTTGCATCAATTGTGGCACTCTCTTACAAAGCATTTCTTGGGGAAACGCTCTTAATGTTTCTACAATAAGGCAAAATGAATCTCCATCAATAAATTTTCCTAACTGCAGTTCAAGAACATCACTAATGATCTTTGGCACTTCTAGAATAAACAGTTGGTATGGTATAACAGCTTTCACATGACCTGTAATCTGTAATCCTACCAGAGATGAAAAATAGTTAATGGCTTTTGGACTCCATTTTTCTCCAAGAGGAAGTATGCTTGCAAAAATGCCCAAAACCACCTTTGGAGGCAGCTGAAACAATTCATCACAAGCAGAAGCAAGATGTGTTTCCTCAACCACTAGCACTTGCCCAGTGTCTATAAGAAAAGCCTCACAGATATTCTTTTTCTTTTCCAAAACTCTTCCTCTATGCCATTTTCCTTCCATGTCTTCCACCAAACAAGATCCACCAACGTAAACATTATCTTTTACTTTGAATACACGTTGTAATTCATTTTGTAGTATGTAATAGTCAAGCTCACATCCTGCCTTGTACTGACCCTGGAACACTATAAGCAAGCATTCAGAATGGCATTCTATACGAGTTATCTTCAGATTCAGATCTACTATGTTTGGTGAGGGAGTGGGAGATTCCATTTTGTCTGCAAAGAAAAGGAGTAAGATCAGCCTGATAATTTTCCATATTTTTTCCTTGTCAACTAATTCCTTATAGGAAACTTGTTTTCAAAACACTTTAATAGCATATTATTACACTTCTGGTTAAAATGTATACCAAACATTTAACAACATCATGTTTTATGCAACTGGGATACACTTGACACCATTCTCTTTGTAAAGACATGTTTGGATAACATCTGAACAACTACCTCTGGACTTGCTCTTGTGGCTACAGACTAATTTTATCACTTGAGAATAATTTGTAATCAGAAAACTGTTCCCAGAACAACACAGAGAAGTAAAGATTATATCAGAAGAAGGAGAGGTAGGAGAGGTAGGGGAGGGGGGAGCAGCTTGTGGACATGGACATACAGGGACAGGGAACAGGACAGATGACCAAGAAGATAACTGTATTTCATCCCAAAGTAAAGTATTTCTGTTCAAAGAAAACAAAAGAGGGGAATGTAATTCATATCATTTATACAATCTCTGCTCATGTCACCAATGTTACTTACATCCAGTGAATTTAACTGCAAATCTCTGCAAAAGAAATCCAATTCAGTGGTTCTTTGCACTGGACTTGCAGTTACAAGGGCAGTTTACCTGCAAAAGTATTTCCAGTCTGTTTCATAAAATAGAATCATGAAATATTTTGGGTTGGAAGGGACCTTTAAAGATCATCAAGCTTAGTTTCTCTCTTTTCTTTTTAATATGTGAATGACCAAGGACACCTCCCCTACTCACCCTGCTTTTTCTGCGTAAATCACTTCTTCGAATCAAGGACAACTTATACGTCTGTGCTTTACTGTTTACTTAATCTGGCTGTCTATACACTATCAGGTATAGGTATACCATATTTTAAGTTTTCATAATTGCAAGAACACACTACCTAGGTCCAACATTTCTGCACTGCCCATCAACTAACAATTGCATCAGATGCATTTCGTATTGCCTCAACACTCCGATTCTGACAGTTTAAGTATCTTCAAACCCTTCAGCTACTTCTCTGACCTTCATCTATAACCTGGTCTTCACGATCACCTTCCAGTTCCATTCAAATTTGTCAATGGATCTGTGATTTCACCATGTTTCAAAAAGCTGTGCATGCCCATAATTTAACTAAGTAATTCTATGAAATAAACTGCTGTTCTAAGAAAGTAATTAGGGGTAGACAAGATCTGTCAAATGCAAAGACAGTGGATAAACACACAAGGAGACTGGACAAAGCATATGCTTGGTTCATGAATTTTTATGGAAAGCTGAAAATGAAACTTTCAGTTTCAACTACAAGTTATTGGAGCAAGATCTTCCTCAGCCTGCAAAAAAATCAACAGAACTGCCACAATAGTTTTTATCACAAGCCTACATGATCATACAATCTTCCTTCTAGGCAAATACTGATCCCTATCATTCTAGTTCCACAAAAAAAGAAAATGAATAATTATGTGAGAACTCCTACTGTAAAGTTTACCAGAACATCCTGGGTAGTAGAGGGAAGGACACATGACTCCTGAAAAAAAAAGAAAAACAAAAACAAAAGAACCACCACCCTCCCAAAAAAGCCTCCCAGTAAAAGCACTACCAAATCCTGATAAGACAATTACCTTCTTAAACAAGCCCCTCTGTTTTCCACGTTCGCTACAATAAAATAGAAGGCTAAAATTTGGGATTTTTTGATGAAACAAAACAGGCTTCAGGAAAGGGCTCTACCTGCTTTGGGCATCTCTTTTTTCCATTGAGACAAACCTCGGGTCACAGAAGCACATAACAAATTAAAACAATTTGTGTATCAACATTTGCTTGCCTCTTGTCACAGCACAAACAACAAGCAGCACACTGATACAGTCACATTCCTACAGTTTACAAAATTATCTTTTGCTTTTTACTCCTATATATATATATACACACTCCTATATTTATCTATATCTTACTCCTATATATATACACACACCACCTATATATCAGTTAGGACTTATTCATTCAGAATATACCTTTAGAAACCTCAGACCTCTTATTAACAACTCGGCATCTCTCTACAAGGAAAGATAAGAAAAAAATAATTTAAAAAACATAAACTAAATTCTCGTACTACTTCTCTAAATCCTCCTCCTGCCCAACAAACACGCCCTGGAAGAGTTCCTCATATCCAGTTTAATTACAAAGTTAAGATTTCAAAAAACGAAATTACAAAATTGAATCCACCTTCCTAAAACCATGGTAAGACGACTCCTTCACTGCAGCTCAAAAACCACACCAGCCTGAAGAGCATTACACAGATAATCTACCACCTACTTTCTAAGCAAAAGCGGTCACACATTTTTGTTTGTTTGCAATGCTTCAGCCATCAAAATCTTTATCGTGCACTACCACCATACAAACTTACAGTGTAATAAAGGGGCTTTTAAATGCAACCAAATGGGGAACACAAGCGACAGCTTACGGTATCTGCGCTGCCCTCCAAAGCAGCAGCTCTGACCGGGGCTGTTTGACGCTCCAGGCAGCGCTCGCCTAAGAGCGGAGCCGGACTCGACCCGACAACGCGCAGACCGCCGGACGGCCACTGCCGCCAGCAGGCAGGGCCCGAAAGTGAAGGCCGCCACCCTTACGCACCAGCCACTTACTTTACCACTCACAAGCGCCAAAGCGGCGCGCAAGAGCCGTAACCGCCAGCGCACGAGCATGTTACACCACCCCAACACCGAGCCCAACAACAAACTAATCCACGCCGCCGCTCACCCCTCGCTCACAAAATGGCGGCGAAAAGATCGCCTCTCACACGTTAACCACCAAGGCGCATGCGCTGTAATACCACGAGTGACCTAAACCTCGTTGGTGGAGGATGGGGCTTATGGTTGATTGGCGGGAGAGCGACGGCAAGGCTCAGCCAATCGGCAC